CTGGATGTGGTGCCCTTGGTTGTCAATCTGGGTGGTGACCTGAGCCTGGAGAGCTGTGATCTGGGAGTCGGCACGCTTGGATGACTCGTCAATTGCCGCTTCCATCTGCTGCTGATGCGCTGTCAGGCATTGGACTTGTTGTTCCAGGGCAGCGAACCTGGCCTCGGTGGCATGCGAGTCCACTTCCATTGACCCAGACTGGAACTTGTCCCAGACATTCTGGGTGATCCTGGCCTCAACTTCCTTGAAGGAGGACTGGGCATCTGCAGGTGGGGTGGGACCAGCCTGGGAAGGTGCAGGGGCCCAGGGGTCATGTTTCAGCCAGGGGTCAGTCGCAGGCGTGGACTCTTTGGAACAGAGTTGCACCGTGGCGGAGTTGCCAATGACCTGAGAGGGCGGGTTGGCAGACGACTGATCCGACTCCGTGACCTTGGTGATGACAATCTCGGTCCCTTGGTAGTAGGCAACGTTGTTGGGTGGTGGGGTGCATGCTTGGACCCGCCACATGTTACCTAAGGTCCCGTCCACTGTGCGGCATGGATGAAGTGGCCTGGCCTTCCAGCCCCACTGACCACAGAGTTTGCTCACGGTGAGTCTGTCGCAACCAAAAGGCAATGGGCCAAGTTCGAAAGTGGAGCGGCTACCTGAAGCAAGGAACACACTTCCGGGTTTCAAGGCCTGAGCAACTGAAGGTGCATCTTTGAGGCGGGACCTGATGCCGAGACGTGAGCCGATCCTGGCAAGACACAGTGCTCCGGCAGTGCATTGGTGGAGCCGATGCAGCTCTGCAAGGTCAACTTTGGGAAGCCAAAGAACCTGAAACTCAAGGTGAGATTCACGAGCATCCAGAGAACGAGGCTCCAAAAAGACTCCGTTTCGTCCTGACATCCCCAAAGTCGTTTCAAGTTGGGATTCCAAACACCTCAGGTTCACAATGAATACTTCAGCACGCTCAGCAGAACAAGGTTGGAACGAGAGGGACAACCACTGCCGACGCCAGACATCAAGGACCGGATCTTCCACACATGAACCCTGAGGGGGATGCCACTTGGGACAAGAGCAAGGCTGACTGGGGGTGGCGGTGGTACACACCTGCAACGGCGGGAGGTGACCCAACAGGTACTTCACAGGGGCACGCACAACCTGGTCCCAATCTTCCACGGAGTCTTTGTAGATGGCAACCTTCAAGCAAGCTGCAGGTTCATGCAAGGCTTCGGAGATGTCTTGGGCAGGCTTGGAAACCACAACCTGATGGCCGAGTTGCACAACGCACGCTGGGGCCAGGATGGGTTCTTGATTGGCTTGGCATCTCAGAATGACCCGCTGGGTGGACCAGGTTAAGGACGTGACTACTTGGCTGGGATCCACATTCAAGAGAACAAGACCAAGTCCACCATTGGAGACAAGTTGGTTGGCTCGAAGGTAGGCTGAAGCTTGGTCAACAGTGCATAACACTACCCCTGAAGCAAAAGGTCCAATGTCGGCAAGTCCAATCTGGCGGACTGGGGATCCGTCCTGCAAGGCGAAAACACCGTCCTCGATGAAGAGCTTGGCTGGGTCAAGGCCTGGTGGGGCCTCAGGCTTGTTGGGGTTCTTCTTGGGAGCTGTGCCATTCTTCTTTTTGCCTTTGAGACCACCAAGTGCTGCTTTCTTGCTGACCGTGGCTTCAAGTTCAGTGGGCAAGACAATCTGGAAGGGAGGCCTGCAATGGTTAGCAGCTGCTTTGAGCGCTCGCCAGGGCTGTCCAGAGGTAACGGCTTGCTGTGTGGCCGCAATTCCAATGGCCTGAAGCAGCAGGGAGGCTCTTTGCTTGACCTGGGTAGGTTCAACACCATGATCGACAAGCAGGGAGTGCAACCTGTCGGCAGCATTGGGTTCCAAACCAGCACCAAAAATCCACGGACGGGGCACGCAAGTGACAGAATCCAGGTGGGCCACAAAGAGGGAACGACCAGTGGCATGAAGCTGGAAGGCCTCAGCTTCGGTGGTTGGCAGCATCTTCCCACGGAGCATCATGTCAATGAACCGCAACGCGCAAATTCCACAAAGGGTCTCAGAAGCAAAGTTACGGTGGACAATGTGGGCAGTAAACGTCCGCGACCCAACTGCCGTGGCAATGCCTTGATGCAACACTGAAAAACCAGGTGGAGGTGAGCCCGGCACGTCCCAGCTTGACGCGATGGTACAATGAGGAGTCCAAGTCCAAATGAAGGGCGTCCAGTGTTGGTTACAACAGACAACTCCAAGAATGGCTGTCGGCTTGAAATCAAGTCCACGAAGCCATTGTCCAATGAGGCCTGAGCTGGGTCGTTTGATAGCCTCAGCACACAACAAGGGATCCATGATGACCCATGTGGGCTTGTTGGCAGCCTGCAGCATCTGGTTCATGTGAAACCACATTTCGTCATCGGCCCAGATGGTACCCTGGTTGGCAAGGATTTCTTTTCTGGCTGGGGGGCTCATGGTTTGCCCGCGAAGGGCATGCAACAGAGCCAGGTCGGTGACTGAAGGTTCAGAGACAAGCAAAAGGCGCTCTGCATCCAAGTTGGCAACTGGATCCAAGACAGTGGACGAGGTGGTCTCAGACCCAGCAGGGACACCGGGGGTCTCACTGACGGTTTCTGGGCCAGGTTCATCGGCCGCCCATGGAATGGTAGGGGAGACCTCAACAGGACCGAACAACTGATCAGGATCAGCGGGACCAGATTGGGTGGTAATCCACAGACACAAACCGGCAGCAGGGTGACTCAAAGCAAGGTCAAGGCCAGAGCTACAATCCAGGACACGCACGGCTTCAAGAGGAAAACCCATGAGCTCACACGAAGCACCAACGACAGATTCAATTGTTTCCTCAATGGAACTCAACTTCACCATGTAGGGAACCAAGTCGGCTTCATGCACAACAGTGACCTCTGTGGCAGTTCCCAAATGTCGAAAACGAACCCAGGGGGTGTTGGAGACATCGTCAATAGGCAACCCAGGTTCCTCAACAGGTGGCTCAGGCAATTCCAACGGTTGCAGGGGGAGAAAAGTCAAGGACTCAGCGATCTGCGACATGCGGGCTGAGAGTTGGTCCATGAGTCCAAGCAAGTCAATTGGGCTGCTTCCAAAGAACACAGTGTCCAAATGTTGTTGCAATTGGGCACTAACCCACAACGCATGAAATGGCGCTGCCATTTGTCCTAAACCTGCCAAAACCAACCTGAGGTCAGAAGGCCACACCATCTCTGGCACTCCATTCAACAGAGCCACTTCGGTCGGGTGAGGGTGACGCAGCATAGGCAGGGAGGAGTCAGCAGCAGAACCCAAAACAGGCAATGGAATCAACAGGCCGTACAGACCCCTTTTGGAAAGGGTTTCATGGCTAAATCCACCAGAGCGACAACCGCAGTGACAGGCCATCACTTGACTACCCCAAGAGTGGAGCGCCGTCGGTGCTTTTCCATCCAACTTCAAAAACAGACGACCAAGATTCCGCTCATAGGCCATGAATTTCTGGAGTTCATCCGGGTGCAGGACAAGTTGCTCGAGTTCAGCCGGTGAGATCAACAACGGACTTTGGAAAAGATCCCTGGGCACGGACGGATGCTCGGATGCAAGAAATCCACGCAGTGAGACCTGACCTAGGAAAGGGGCCGTCAAAATGGCCCACCATCTTGCTCGTCTCGATACCCACACCTCTTCGAGGCGCAAGTTGACTTCAGCAAGGTGGTATCCACACTGCCGTGCAAACGAGTCTACGAGGTTGCGCACCATGCTGTTGCTACCTGCATCCTGTACACATTCGAGAATCACTGCTACGGAACGGAGCAAAACTGCCGCTTTCAAGGTCTTTGGCAAGGTTTCAGACCGGATGTCATTGACCCCCCTCTGCTGACCACCCGCAGAGAAAGGCTGGCATGCAAAGCCACACATCAGAGCAGCCGGATCCGAGTGAACCTTATGCACTTGCCTCAGGACGTCGGAGCTCCCAATGTCGCCAGTCACCACAGGGATGTCCGGATGTATCTCCTGAAAGCCTTGAGTGAACGGCAGGCACCAATCGACAGCGCAGACCGTCCTCATTCCAGCCTGATTGAAGCCCATGGTACCGATACCTAAGCCAGCACAAAGTTCGATCAGGTTCCACATGTCCTCACGAGTGCAGCGACGATGGCACAGGACATCTTCCATACTTCGAACCTCAAACACCGGCATCGGCAACTTGCAGATCAGTCGTCCTCCCAAAACGGAGATGGCTTGGCACTCCGAAGGGATACAGAAGTCTCCCAAGAACCGAACGTTGCCTCCATAAGGCCAGAGCTTCGCCAGCACTGACCCATCCGAGACCGAAATCACCTCGGCCACCACATCAGCCACACCACCTATCGGTGTGCTGGAGTCAAAACCCCATTGTACCTCAGGGCCAGGATCGCCCCAAAGATCGGCCATTGCAGTCAGTCACAAAGGAACGAACCGCCCAAAGTTAGAAAGTACAGCTCTCCCCGCTGGAAGGGCACTTGGGCATGAGAGCTAAATAAAAAAATGTTCCAAACCACCAACCAGGTATTCTATTTCTGCATCAAAAAAATATCTGTGCAAATTTCCAGCACCATTTTCTGGCGGTGGGCCCAATCTGGCCCAGACACCCGGCCCACTCGATGCAAGTAGCAAACGCTATTGCCCGCAAACCTGCAGTGCTTGGTGGTGATCTTTGGGGATCCACAAGTCAGGGTCTGTGTTGGAACTGCACTGGGCTTCTGCAAGCTGCAGAATTCCCTGACTAGTTTCTCCTGTAAATACAGGTTGTTTCTGGGTGTCTGTAAACTTTCCTTCTTTACGAATGGTTGTCGTGGGACATGATCACGGAAAGTTGCTGATGTAGATAACTGTTGTAACACAACACACGTCGGTTGCAAACAACATTTTTCACCAGCTTCATTGACAAATTGGCGCTGTGAATAATCTGTGGTAGCTTCCAACTCGTTGCAAGATTCATCTGATCATCTGAGCTGCAGGACTCAAGCTGGATGACATGTTGACAAATTGGTAGATCCAGGCCTCGCCTGGGATCCGGGCACGACATGTCACGACGCACGAGATCGGCACTCAGAACCGCGAAACAAACCCGCACGAAAAAACCAACAACTAGGCTCCCAAACGCTCCAAGATCCGTACAAATCAGCACCGGCACCTGAGGTCGGCAAACCAATGGCAAAATTGTGCTGAGTTGAATCTCAGCATCAGTTACAGAGGGAAAAACATGCAGTCCTGAGGACACTTCTATAATCTTCTATATCTTACAGGGAAAACGCATGGTTTGTGTATGTTTCTGTAACATTTCCCTTAGATCAATGCAAATGATTTATGGGTATATCTGAAAATTTAGGGAACCCTTCAAAATTTTCAGGTTGATAGGGTTAATCATCATTTTCATTATTGTTCCATAATTTTCCCATATTTTACCTATGAAAACAGGCCTATTTTCAGCAGCTCCTCCCCGAGCTGGCAGCCTCCCCGAGGCCAAACTTCTTCAAGCCATCGATGCGTTCCGAGAAGCTCACACCTGGCGACGTCGATTTTTCGGGGATCATCAGGAGATCATCAGGGGATCAACGCAAGGCATCTGGCTGATGTACAGCTATCCAATCTATCCAAGTACAGTAAGCAAAATAAAAGTAGAATAAAGTATATAGAAGCATGTAGAAGCAATCTTGACCCAAAGCCAAGTGTATGATTTGTAGCTCCAACGGACCATCGTCGTCGTCATCATCATCTTCTTCTTTTCCATAATGCTGGCAAAAAACGTGTATCCGCACCCTTTTCTGGATAACTCATGACAACTCCAAATCATTTTATATAGTATTTAATTATACCAAAAATGATATCCAATTCTTCCCTGTGATATCCTCATTCTGGTTGCTTCTATGCCCAGTAAGGTACCCTTGGCAAATCCCTGTTTTCTCCTGTCGCCTGCGTGGACATTGGCCACCTTGATCTTTGCTGCTTTCGCTGCCTCGGGGTCCAGCGGGTCCGGCGGGACTGGCATCCAAGTGGAACTGACCCATAGCATCCATAGCATCCATAGATATCCATAGCATCTAGGTGCTGCATCTTGGCTAATGTTAGGTACATTTGGATGATATATGATGATATTTAATATTTGAGGGACATGTATACCAAAAAAGAACGCAAACAACTATCTTCATAGGCCATCTGGGATATCTGGGTATTTTTTCCATCTTCAAACCCTGTAATTACATCATGAGTCAACACCAAGGAAGGTTAACTTAATATGCTTAATTAAATCACTCAGGGTTTTCTTTTAATAGTTTTTCTTTTTCCCTACATGCAACCAAGGCACCATTTCGAAGGAAAGGCACGCCTCCGCAGTGTTTGCGAAGATGATGGTTCGAACCTCTGGTCCCTGCAGCTCGACAAGGGGCGTTTGTCACACATGGAGTAGCCCTTATCACCATTGGTTTCCAAATTCAAACATAACTAATCACTTGGAGCATGATTTTGCTGAGTGGAGTTGAATGTCATTTGATTTTGCTTGCTGCAGCATGAATTTCTTCAACATCATCAGCATTAGCAAAAGCAAAGTGCTCCAACTGACCACAATCCGGCAGAGAATGTCTTGATCAAACAAACAAAGACCTGGCAATCCCACACATTGGGACCCCAATGTGTCACAATCCAGCGTCATCCAGCTTTGAAACTCCATAGTAACCATAGTAATAATTCCAGGAAAAGCCAGCCAAGATTTCAGAAGATTCACATCCATTCACATCCAAAAATCATCAAAAAACCAGATGTCTGATTTAAGTTACTGGTAAGGCCTGGTAAGGTACAAACAAGATTCATGTTTCACCTTGGTAGATCGCAGGTCACTGTTCAACGACGCCATGCAGGGCCTGCCGGGCCTGCTCCTCGAGGATTTTGATGGTCTTTTGAATGCGAAGCTGAAGATCTCGTTTGCCTCGCTCTGCTGTGGATTGGTCGTCGGCTCACGGATGGCCAAAAAAGAAAGACCCCAAAAAAGACTTCCCCGTTCTGCTGCTCTGCTGCCTGTGCCTTTTGCTTGACCTCAAAGGCAGGCTGTTTGAGGTCGCTGATAGCCAAACAACAATGCCCGGTTGATCCATGGATGGCACCTGACGCATCTCTGAAAACGTGGTCAAAGCATGTCAAAACATTCACAATACAATCATAAAGTGTATAGCTATGGGTGATCTATGGGTCAGTTCACCCTGTCTTCAATCACCACAGCTTCATTTTCAATCATTTTCAACTAACACCAGGATTAACATGGATTAACTAGATGCTACATATGCTGCCCTTTGATCTGGCGATGTTTTTTTCGGTGCCCGGACCATTTGAGCGGCTCTCACCAGGGATGTAAAGCCAGGCCTGGTGCAGGCCCAGGGGGCTTGGATTTGCTGAAGGGGTCTCAACAAAACAACAACAATTCCCTGTAGATTCAGTGGTGGATTTCGTTTTTTTTTTTGAAATTCATCTTCAGCAAATTCAGGAGTTGGACATAGATCATCATAGATCGCCTTTCCAGCAGCAATCCAGCCATTGTAACTGACAAGTTGCTGGTCCGGCCTCCCGCTGGATACCAGGGTGTCGTGTGTGCAACCAAGGACTCCTTGCATGGCGAATGCCAATCTCAAATTTGCAGGGGCGAATGGCTGACCATCTGACCATCAGCAGCAATGAGCACTTCCGTGCTCTTCTCTGATCTCTTCACCATATGAAATGAACACTAATTATGCATATGTATCATGTATCTGGTTGGTGGTTTCAACCCCTCTGAAAAATATTCGTCCGTTGGGATTATTATTCCCAATATATGGAAAAATAAAACATGTTCCAAACCACAAACCAGGTCTATATTGAGATGTCAAATGATCTTCACTGTGGTCTGTGGGAAAAGCAGGGTGGACATAACTCTGGTCGAGTCCCATTGCCAGCTGCCAAGCAACTTGATGTGCACGGCATTCGGATACCACCGCTTAAAGACCTCAGGCATGAACGCGCAGCTGGGGAACCCTGGACTTCGCAATGGACTTCTTTGGGCGTTAATATATGTTAATATGTTAAATAGATACAACAGTCCATACGCCTCTGATGTAGCTGAAAGAAACAGTCTGGCAGGAAGCACGAGCAATGGGAAGCGAAACACTCGCATGTTTCCTACAACCATCCGACGCACGACCTGAAGATGCGAAACAACTGAGGTATGTGAGTCACGCAGCTTACAGGGTATCGCCTGTCAAGAAGCATCTGCAAACTTAAAATTGCAAACCCTGTGCAGCGAAATGTAGAAGAGAGAACAAACCGAGTGACCAAGCGGAATCAGATCGACTTGAGCCAAATTTCTGAAGCTGTTTCTGAGTTCATGACCCATTCTACGCTCCCAATGCCACTGTTGTAGAACCTCGTGCGTCGCACTTACAATCTTCCCAATCCAGAGCAGTGGTCATTTTTCGTAATTACTTACCATCCATTTTTTTTGCTTCGTCCGATACGCCGTCGACATCAGGTCTGCACACAAGGTCCAAATCCAGTGAACCCAATTGAACCTCCCATCCCCTTGGGACCTGTGGTCCTGCATGTCAGCTCTTGCTTCTTGAATACAACGACCCCTTGGCGCGACTGCTGAGTGGCCAGGTGGGAAAGGAACAACTTTTTTCCGAAACCACCACCTAGGTTTTGATTGTATAATATATATATATAATATTCTTTTTTAAATATATATATATATTATGATATATATATAATATAAAATATATAATGTATAGTATATATAATATAATATATTATAATATAATATATATATGTGTTATATTATATTATATATAATATTATATATTATATATAATACTATATATAGTATATAATATTATGTATATATTATTTACATGATTATTATATGTATAATATCAATATAAATATAAATTATATATATATACACATATAATATAATATATATATATATATATTATAATATATATAATATTATATATTATATATATATTATATATATAATATTATGTATTATATATTATATATATTATATTATATTATATTATATTATATATTATATTATATTATATATTATATTATATTATATTATATATACTATATTATCTTATATATATATTATATTTTATTATATGTGTATATATATATATTTATATATTTTTATTATATTATATATACATATTATTTATAATCTATACATTATATAATTATACATATATAGATATCCTGTTTGGTCTCATGATCATTTCCGTTTTTACCCTTTTTGTTCGTTGATCTCCCTTTTTGGTTGGTTTCACCACCCATGTTTGTCGCTTGAACCCACCATTTCTTACAGCCGCAGAAACTTGGCTCACAGATCCCAGAAACTAGGCAACTACTGTTTCGTTGGATCAATTGGTCCAAAAATAAGATACAACTTGGTTAAAAAAGTTGGTTCCTTGGGTTGAAGCATGTTGAAACCCTGAGAAAAAATGCCGTTTTTCCTCACCATTTCCAACAGATCAGGGCTCCGCTCGCCAAGTGACTTGGCATAGCTGGGCAACGTTGCACAGCTGGCCACAAAGCGGGGACCGTACTCCACCAAGAGGCCAATGCCAGGCCTGAAATTTTGGCTCAAATGAAGGGGTCCAGGACTGATTCCAGGGTTTCTGTTTTTGTTTTAAGGGGAAATATGACTAAGTCGCATTAAGTAGGCACAAAAAGAAGTACTATTTTAAGCCATTGATTCTGGATGCTTCTGGTAAATACACTCATTAATTAAACAAAACGGACACATGGATCCACATGTTTGAGATATGTCAAGGTGAATTGAGACGGGGATATATCCGGATGCATGGTGCATGCAAACTGATGTGATAGAACATTCAGCTTACTTCAAAACATCCGAAAGTAAGATATCGAAGCTTCTGCATGCTTCTTGAACATTCAATGTAGCTGGCCATGTGATGGCCAGAATGGATGTGGTTCAAATTTACCCTGGCATAGAATCATATAGAATCAATAAAAATCACTATGAAATCAGTGACTTCAAACTTCAAACATCTTCAAACGAATCTAAACAATACCCGCCATCAACATCTGTAATGCGTTCCGCACAGTTCCCTTCGTTTCACTGTAACCAGGCAGCCGTGCCCCCGCATGACGCGTCGGCGAACGCGCTCAGCAATTTTGCCGTCTTCGAACCTCTGGTGAATGGTCGTATGTTTCGTCTACTGACAACTCCTAATGATCCACATAGACGAATTCATCAACAAAAACATCAGTTTTGGTCACAAGATTGACCAGGAAAATCAGCAGATGAAAAGCAAAACACTGGCAAAACACGGGGCAAAACACATCAAAAAACATCAAAACACGTCATCAGAGTTGATTCGGCGCACTCCACTTTGAAGGTGCCATCGCTGTTATGCCACGCCATGCCTGGCTTCCACTTCAAGCCTCAGTGCCGACTGAGAAGCGACTGTCCAAATTTGATGCAATGATTTCAATATAGTGTGGTAAACGGTAAACCCAATAAACAATCCCTAAACTTACTATAGATAAATGGCTGGAATGGCTCCAATCGTTATGGGAGGTCTTTGTGGCATTGAGGGAATATCACATTATATGATATGATATGTCTCAATTCTTCCCAGATCTGTCTCATACCAAACTCGCACCAAGCTCCGTTTTCACCTCAATTCTTTGACCGAGCACAATTTTCACTTTTCGCTGCCTGGTCGCCTGGCAGGGAAGGGGCAAGGTACCACTACAAGAAAGGTCCTGCGATAGCAGCAGGGTTCCATGACATCAGGCTACACATGAGAGCTGTGATGCTGTGCTGATGGGACTACTCAGCATTTTCAATTGGAAAACACAATTTTTCTCTGCCCTCAAAGTTGCAAGTGACTCACTCCTCTGTACTGTGTCCATCTATCTTATGAGGAATGCCCTGCAATAACCGTTATCATCCATAATCGGAGTAATGTATATGATCATAACTGATAAAAAACAATAGTAAACAGGATCATTGTATTATAATCAATTATCTAGACTACCCTTGTCATCCCCATCGTCCCTATACCCTTATCATTCCTATCATCCCCATCCATCATCAACCATCATCCTCCATTGTCATTTCGGTACTCAATTCCGTGGCTTGCAAGACAAAATCACTCATTTAATTCGATGACTTTCCCATCAAAACTTACTAAAAACCCATTTACAACCTCTGGCTGGTGGTTTCAACCTACCCCTCTGAAAAATATGGCTTCATATGGCTTCGTCATTGGGAAGGATTATCCCATATATATATATATATCCATAATTATATATATAATATATCCATATATATATATATATATGTATATCCATATACCAGTATCATGAAACCACCATTTACAACCTGGATTTACAGCGGTTTTTCCCAGCCACGTTGACACCGCAAGGCTGTCACCGTTGCCGGCGTCGTGGCCT